ATGAGACGCAGCAATTACCCAGCATAAAATGCCTGAGTGAACAGCTATGTTTTTACTTGACATCTATAACCATAAAGCCTAAGTACCAACCAAAGGGATGTGGGGAGAAAGTTCATTAAACTAGGTGCTGCTACAAGAAGGCCCTGTCCTTGGTTGTCACACACTGCCTCCAAGAGTTGGAGCACTTGGTATGAAGCTTACAACAAAGATTTAAGAATTGGGCTGGATCATATGGAAACAAGCAATCCTCCGGATACCCCAGTCATATTTGGGTTAAAAGCAAAACTATGAATTGCATGCGGAAAAAAAGCAGGAAACAATATGTCTATGTATATGTCTATGCCACATCCATTTGCATCATAGCTCCCCATCTCACAGCCTATAGGCTTCCTCACAAGTTGGTTGTGAGGGGAAAATACTGTTTTGTACTTCTGTGCTCCTAGAGGAAGGATGGGAAGTAAATTATAAATTTCATAGTTTGGTTCAAACAAAGAAGCAAATGTTGAAAAAAAATTATTTGTTGGCAAAATCTCATATATATATATGTATGTGTGTGTACACATACACACACAAGTTTATACCAATGGAAGAGTCTGTTCTTAAAGGAAAACTACATCTTTACTGCAACAGTAAACATGATGATGTCAGTAATGTATGTGGAGTGATGGTGTCCTGGCCATATCCTACAAGGACAGCTTTGAAATGTAAATGTTTTATCTCTATATTCATATCCTGGTCAACAAACTCCAATAAATATATTTAGTGACAAGCCTGATTTTTCTCAAAGCTTCTGCTAAGCAGAAAGTTAGCACAGAGCTTTTTTACTTTATCCCAAATCATGAAAAAAATAAACTAAACGTACCGAATTGTAAAAAAGCCTTTGTGATTACTGTCTTCTTGAGGAATGCAGATTAATGCAGACAAACAAAACATTGATTTAGTATAGATTTTGAAGTGACTGTATTGTATTGTCAGATAAATTCAAGGAAAGATAGTGGTGTGAATTAGGGATGCCAGCCTCCACGTGGGACCTAGGGATTATACCTCATCTCCAGCTACAGATGAGATCCCTGTCCTCCCCCAAATCTCCAGGAGTTTCCCAACCTGGAGCTGGCAAAACTACCCCCTCACCCCGATCCCTGTCCTCCCCAGGCTCCACCCCCAAATCTCCAGGAGTTTCCCAACCTGGAGCTGGCAAACCTACCCCCTCACCCCGTTGGTGGCCAGGAGGGACCTGGCAACTCTACATACAGTACTGGAAACACCACCATTGTCAGAAAAAAGTGTGTGGGTGCAGGTGTGGGGAGAAACACAAGAGCAGCAGCACTAGTGGCTATGGTAGATGACATAAAACTGCTAAACAGGATTGTATCACTGCTTACCAAAATTTGCTGTTTTCGTGTTTTTATACAGTTTTGTAAGCTGCCTGAGACAGCTTTGCAGGGAGGGCGGGATATAAGTAAAATGAATAAATAGATAAACATTCAAAAAATGGAAGAGGCCAAAAGGGTAGAGCAAAAGCCAAAAGCGGAGGGGTTGGATCCAAACAGCTTTTTAGCTCAATCTTACCAAATTCTTCTCCCTATAGCCCCCATCCCATATGGTTTTTGAACATACAGGTCCAATGATTCCCAGGGTAGCCTTTTTTAGTGGTCAAAGGGAACCCCTCCTTTCTTTTTTCAATCCCCAGAAAAACTAATTAAGAACATAAGAAGAGCCCTGCTGGATCAGAAAAATGGTCCATCTAGTTCAGCATCCCATCTCACACAGTGGCCAACCAGTTCCTCTGGATGGCCAACAATAGTGCACAGAGGCCGAGGCCTTCCCTTGATGTTGCCTCCTGACTCTGGGTTTCAGAGGCTTAGTGGAGGTTCCCTTCAGTCACCATGGCTAGTAGCCATTGACAGGCTTAGCCTCCATCAATGTATCTAATCCCTTTTAAAGCTGTTTATTTCTATGGCCATCACTTCATCCTCTGGCAGCAAATTCCACATATTAATCACCTGCTATATAAAATAGTTCTAGTATTTTGGGAGAGCGAGATCCAATCTGAAGTTTATAGCTACCTATAAACCCTCAAGCAAGCGTCCCAACTTGTCAGGGCAGCCAATAATCTCAAAGGGTAAATCCAGGGTTATTTTTGGGCAGGAACGCACAGGAGTTCCGTCTGGCTTCAGAGTTGGCCACGCCCACTACAGCCAAAACCTCTGCGTACGTGGCTACAGAGGGAAGGCCTGGAGAGCGACCCCCCGGCAACTCTGAGGCAGGCGGGCCGGGGGGGGGGGGGGGGAGTATTGGGG